TTTAATCATTCGCCCATTTGAAGGTAGGTACTAGAAAGATTATCCGCCTGTCGTCACGGCAGGGTTGCATGAATACCAATTGAATGCAACCACTGTGTATTGAAAAGTTGGAATAAAAAAACGAAAATGTGAAAATAAAAATCGTGTATATCTGTTATGGAGATTGTGAAGTCGAATAAACTGTTATTGCGCGCTTCACGTTATTGGGTGTGTTCATTGGCTGTGTTCAGAAGCAAAAAGCCGCTCAGTGATTCTTTAATATGATTGGTGCTTCTAGTTTTCTTTGCTAAATCTATCAAACCAATTATGAAAAGTATCGTGTCCATTAAGCGCGGCTCTGTCTTCTGGGCCTTATAATGAGTGTTTTCCATTTGGTTACACAAGTAGTCGACACAAGTGTCATTCCATCTGTTTCAAAATTAGAATAATGATACATATGCCGATTTGTGTCATCATTAAATTGAAAGTACTCATTCTTGATCGTAGACGAAAATCTAAAATACAATACGTAATGTAGGTATATTGTATACTTATAGGTATAGTATACAATATTTTTGTATGCGATATTTTTCGAGAATGAAGATCGCAGTACAGATTTTTGCATATAACGCTTAATGTAGGCAATAATAGAATTAACCAGTTAGACTCTTTCTTTTTTTTCCTTCCATTTCACGGAAAAGCTAGAGGAACTTTGATCGGTTGATTTTTTTATGAAATACATGCAAAAATCTGTAATGGGGTCTTAAGGCCTTTGAATGCAACCAATACCGTAATCGTGCATCAAGTGGCTATTTAATATAATTAGTTGGATCTAAAGATAAGAAAGAGAGAACCGCTAATTATATTCGACTTAGTCGCTCAATGAATAATTGTAACATAATGTAAAAAATGTCATACATCTTTGTTTAATCTATCTGTTTTTAATTCTTTGAAGTAGAAAAAACGAAAAATACATCGAGATTAAATTAAGTTATTAGAAATAGACATAAATCGTATTAATTCACAATGTTACGAAAAAATGCCTGCCTTATGTTAATCTGTTTGTATATTTACGTCATCATGCGAGATTTCCACGATCGAAATTCAAACTCGATGAAACTGTAACGTATCATTTGAAAATGTCGCACGATCAGTCACGTGATCGATGTAACTTTTCGTTGTTGAACAATAGCGACCCTGTTATTTCACGTGCCGTAATCGAGAATCAGTTTGAAAACGGTAGCTGCATTTTACTCTTCATGGAAATGGTACTGTACGTAATTAAAAGTGCTCACATGTGTTAAAATCAGTTAAATGAATAACACGAGATCGGCGCATGTCATCTCGCGTATCAAAAAGCATTATTATTAATTAAATCTCTCTAAATCTCATAGTTTAATTTCGTGCAATGTTGATTAGAAATCTAATTGAAGTTACCGTTATTCTCTCCCGCATCAATCGTGAGTCACATTTGTATTTAGTCTCATATACGGAAAGAACGATTTTGCTGTGTGATATATCATTAAAAAATTTAGCTATTACATAAAGATGGAGTTGAGATGGATTGTAACGAGATGAAAATTATAAAAAAGTGTGAAAATTTATTAGAATATTTATATAATTTCATTGATCACAACGCCTAAGGTTTGTTCTTTCTAGCTAAAAAGCACGGTTCATCTTATTTCCTTTTCTCGCTCCACATTGGAGAGAAAAAAGAGAAAAGATAAATCGTGAAGAAGTTAAGCTAAAAAGAAAATTTGCTCACTTATTTAAAAATTGTCATTTCGTTTCAATGAGATACACAAACGATCCTCAGATGTAAAAATTTTTTCGTTGGACTATTAAAATAATTAAGTAGGAAATTCAAACATGATAAACAACGTTGCCAAAAATTGTCGATATTTTAGCAACAAAATTATTTTCAGATCTTATAACTAAATTTTTAGATAAATAGGAAACCGTTTTTTCTGTGTGCCGTGTTGTGCGTATCGCGCAATCGAAATTACGCGTATTCGAATTTCACGTCTCTCTTTCGTGTTTTACAAACGATATTTCTCTCTCGGAAATGAATCTGGTGTGCAAATTGTGTCGTCAAATTGCATATCGAATTGTCAATAGCTCGTCGAGTGCTGCGCGAATCGTGTTGGAAGTGTCGTTGAAGGAGAAACAGCGTGAAGTCGCTCGGCGATCATCGCTTGTCGCCAACTTCGTATCGCTCGTCAACGTTAGTACATACATCTTTACTGTGTCACGTCGCATCACATTTTCTGATAATGTAGTAAGTTCGTCCATTCTCGCGCGTGTAAAGAAATACCGGGCGCGTCTAATCGTAGACACGACAGGCAACGGTCATTCATACATCCGAGTGTCGCCTCGCGTCAGATGAATCTCGCACGTCGAGGAAGGTTAACGCGCGTTTCGCATTGTATAACCTCTATAACCGACGCGCGAACTGTGCGAGTCGTGGATGTATGTATCTCGGGAGTATCGAATAAGCTGAATTGTGTGTCATGCGATATTGTTGTAGTTTTACTGTTCGTTCCATGTGTCTTTACTTGAAAATAATCATCAGGAAAATTGTTGCGTAGTCGTGACGTTCTCTCTCTCTCTCTCTCTCGGATGATTACATAGTAGATTATAAGTTAGTAGATAAAATGTTGAAAGTATTCCAAAAAATTTTTTTATTTTATATTCCTGATTTTTATTGGTACATTTAAACTTACATTTGTGTGTGTTATATTTTTATTTCCCTCACAGACATTTAATACTGTCTAATTTATCATAGATATATTGAAATATATTAGATAATTAATTACTTATTTTGATACTAAAAACACTAAATTAAATAAGTAATTTATTAAAATAAATGGTACTGTTTTTTAATATTAAATTAGTTAATTTTATAGACTTTACAAGGGATGAGATACGTATAAAGGAATGTGGGTAAAAATAAAACATATTTAAATAAACTGTGCGTGCACAATATTTCTTTTCCTTTTTTAGGATCATATTTATAGAAAACTGTACCAAGGATACCATCCTATTTATCAATTTAAAGCGAGCGATGTCAATCTCTACTCTGCTACTGAAACGTCACTGAACGAGGAAAGAGGAAGAAAGCGTCGTGGTAAGATAATACGAAGCGAAGTATTTATCGGTTAACTCGTCGTCTCAGAGGGAGGTAGGGGGAGATATCATTGGGAGGGATTGAGTAAACATTTCTCGGGGGCATGCGAATGAACAATTGGGTATCTAAACACGATGAGTGGAATTATGCGCAAACATCTCGTACGACAACACGACGTCTAAGTGTTCAGGGGAAAAAAGAGTTAACGCTCTCGCGAAAGTATCAATATGCATAAGGGCCCCCGATATTGCCTCGAATCACCCAGAGTAGATATATAGATGTAACGAGTCATGAATTATGAATCATTCGACGAAGAGCAGTGTTTTCTCGATTTCCTCACGGCGAGTCTGCCGGCGAAAGAATAAAAGTAAGTCCCGGTATCGAAAGTTAATGAATATTTAGTCACGATTATTACTACGCAAAGATTTCTTCACAACGAATAATTAAAGGTCTCATCGAGTCAGATCCTCTCAAATTTGATTCCAGAAGGCTTAATCGTGGACCCTTTTAACTCATCTATTCGAGTTACTGCGTTAGGTAACGCAATAAATGTAGAAATAGACAAGATTAGAACGATGTCGTACTATAAAAGTGTGATATGGTAGAAAAGTTAAGCGATATTGCCTTTCAGTCTTTTATATTTGAGTGATTGTTGCTCTTATATTCAGATGTCGTTAACGTCTACAACATAAATATACGTTAATGCACCGTAACGATAATATTATACTGAGGTTTTAATATTTTATGCACTTTAATAGGTAACGAGTGCGTCGTAACATTTTTAAACTCGATCGCGCGAGTTGTAGAGAATATTCCCATGAAAATTTCCTCTAATACGTTTTCTCCTGTTCTCTGGTCATAAAAACAAGGTAAATGTTTAAGAACAAATACGACTGTAAAATTAAATACAGTAAAAACAAAAATTACAAGTTATTGGACTCTGTATAGAATGTAATAATATTGATCTTGTCAATTTTTTAAATCAGAATATTTTTCTGTCTTATTTTTTATAAATCTTTATTAATCTCGTCCTCTGGGATTGGTACATTTAGTCAATATTGTATAATATTATATATATATATATATAGTTAATATTATATTGCCTACATAAGTGTTATAAATTTATCCCCAATTAATTAACGCGTTCTCTCTCTTTCTCTCCCTCCCTCTTTTTCTTTCGTTTTATCTCATTCGTAATCGATAACTTGATAATATTTAAAATTTATTTGTATATTGAAAAAAAATTGTTCATTTGACTAAATTAATTTAACTTATTCTTTTAAATTAATTTAGTTGTCTTTATTTCTTTCGTTAAAGAATATGTTTTTAAGTTAAATATAATATTATATATATTCTCCACCGAAAGAAATAATGATCAATTAAGTTAATTCAGTCAAATAAAACATTATTTTAATGTGCAATATTTAAATTAGACTTAATTTCTTGATGTTTTTTCTTCTAATATTTGATCAATTTGAATTGATCCTATCGACTGATGCTATTTATCGGCGTACGAGCTTATATATATTAATTCTTTGGTACTCACTCTATCGATAAACTTGTAGCTTATTATATTGGCAGTTAGTAAAAGGAAAATTTTATTCATTAATACGCATCTAAAGAAGTCATTTTAGGAAATGTCAAATTTTGAAAACAGTAAACTTCTAACTTTGAATTACTATGGATAAGTTCACTTAGATTAGTTTTTTAAAAAACACTTACGTAGCTTTTTTCAATTGCTGGTAGATCGTATCGATGCAAGGATTCTACATTATCAACCTTGTTGCTGATCTATTCTTAAAATTTATGCCAGAGGACGTGCAGCGCCGTGTCGTTTAGCAAAGGTTGCGGGGCGCAGGAGCACGAACGTCGTCCTTCGGGTTGCCATCCAGTAGGAGTTTAGTCGGTGCCGGTCGGTCCCGAGAGCCGTTCATATTCTGCGGGACACAAAAATCTAAAATGGCAAGAGACATGTACATTTGATAGGGTAGTCCACTCGACAAATGAGAAAACCGATTCGGTTTTAGCACAACACACGATAATGAGCGAGTGAAAACGAGAAAAAAGAGAGGGGGAGAGAGAGGGAGAGAGAGAATCGCGATGAACGAACAGATATCGATGCAACATCAGTCGCGTATCTTCTGAGCGGGAGAAAGGGGTGCGATCCTACCCTCTTCTCGCGTACGGTAAAATCGCCGAGAGAAGAGTAGCAGATCGAGAGTGGACTACTAGTTGTGCTGTGTGACGGAAGTTACGCGCTTTCGACGGTATGTCCGTGATGAGTTACAACGCTAGATAAAGGTGAGTAATTAATATTAACTCCCGTTCCTGCAGAGTTATTAGGTATAGTACCTCTGAGTCTAAGAGGAATCTCAATTTCGTAAAGAATTAGTTTCGAGCGTTGTTGAAGAAACGAGAAATTTGTCAGGTACACTTGTCTTGATGTTGAATTAATTGCGTTAGAAAATTGAATTAAGAATTTCTTTTACCTTTAGCAAAAAATTGTATATATGTATATATAAGTAGCAGGATTTTTTTTAACAGAGAAAAATATTCGGACATAAAATAGAGAGAAAATTATGTTCAATGTTTAAATTTTTCTAATGCTATTCTTTCTTATAACTAGAATTTTTTTGTTTGAGCAATAGTAGCAATTCTAAAATAGTTTTTTTATTAGAATATCAACGCTTTACAATGGTGCGTTGAAATTTTGGCGAATGTAACATTTATAGAAAAATAGTATATCAAGTAATGAATCATTGTTAAAATTAATACTTTAAAATAATTGTGTGTAAATAATAATAATGTAAAAATTAGATTAATTAAATATGATAAGAAACGCGCGCGCGCGTAATAAAGAACGAGAAACACTATTAAGTTGAAACGATTGTGAAAATACAGAAAAATGTTATGGTAAGTCTATGAGTTTTGAGTAAGAACATAATAAAGGAGATGAAAGAATAAAAGTTTGAAGTATTGGTGAAAGGTTGTCCTTAGTTGATTTTAACTTTTAGTATGAATGGAGAAATGAGAAACGAGAGGAATACTTTTCTCGATAATCTCGAGGCAGTGAATTCTTACAATTGAAAACGATTGTAGTTTTTCTCTTATGATTTATATTAAAACGGATGAGATTTTGAATTGATAATATTAAATTTTTTTAAATATCGTAAATGCAAACAATTATGTACTTGCTGAATTATCATAAATAGAACGCTCTTATAGTAGAAGATAAAAAATGATGATTAATCGATTATTTGCCTTTATTTTACTATATTGGAAGATTGATACAAAACGGACAGTGGTCATTTATTAAACTTAAGAATACCTATATAGACGAGGCTATATTTTATTTTACATTAATTGTAATATTTTACAAGACATGCACGTATACTAAAATTTCATAAGGAAGACATATATATACACACACATTAGAATTATATGACAATTAATATAACGTATTATTATATAATGCATAACATGATAATTATATAACTTCATATATAATACATACAAAAATTGGAATAACGCAAAAATTTTAGTTAAATTTTATTTTTTATAACGCATACTTGTCATAGATACGTGAAAAGATATTGCAAGAATGCGTTGGAATTTATTTTGAAAAGAATAGAAATTGCATATTTATATACATATTTTATAATATTATATACGTTTAATGACAAATTATTTGCTTGAAGTAGTATAATTCCGTTGTATTTTACAAAATATTCTGTAAAAGAATATTGTGTGCGTATATACACACAACGCTTATTACGCTATTATACTATATATATTTTATACATACAAGAATAGCTAATATCACAAAGAATCGTGTATTACCCGTACGGTATTATAGTCTTTTTTCACGAATTTTATTTACAACTCCTAACTCGAGTTATCCGAGAATTTATAAATACGTCAAGGATTTTCTCACTAGTGCACAAAGAAAGAAAAGAGTTGTTGAAGGGGATCAACATAAATTTTACGATTTATTGGTTTCCACAAGATAGCCAGTATTATCAAATTCGATTTAGCGACACACTCAAGGCTTTATTCGATCTGATTTATTGGCATGGGTATTAAGTTTCGTTAGTTTTTGTTAGATAGGCTAGTTATTCTGCATAAAAAGCAGTTTTATTGAAATATCTAAAAATATAGGTAAATATTTGATAAAGATCTGGAAATAATTATAAGAATCTCAAGCAATGCTGTAAACAATTTGGACATTCTAGCAATCAGTTTGAGTAACCTACATTATTAGTTTGATAGAGAAGAGAGAGAGTCCAATAAAATTATTTTTATTTGGTTAAATTTTTACTTTAGCAAAACTGTTCTTTTCGTGTGTGAGTAAGTAACATTCTTAATATTCCTGTGAAAATAATTTAAGAAAATTCAATTAATTTTTCAATGGTGAAATGTTGCCATCTGTCTTTCGTTCGACGGACAGTGTTAATCCCTTTCTATCGATAATAATCATCTCTTTTGCAACAATCACATCAGTATATAATACCATATAATTTGAGGAATAAGTTTATATTAAAGAGACATACATATGTATATACATTGCATTTTATAATTATATGTATTGTAATTAATTTATATTGATATTTTTTTTTACAAAGAAAAACACTTCAAAAAAAGAAAAATGGTCAAATTAAAACAATACGTAGATCATTGACATGCCAGTAATCTTACATCAGTCAATAATACCAAAGTGCCATGAATGTTACATTTCTTCGGTTTTCCGGTGTTTGCTCTTCGATCGTTCCACTTCCTGAATTTTTCTCTTCGATTTTAGCTCGCAACCGTAACGTAAATTAGACCAACCGGTCGGTCTATCGCGCGAAAAGTTCCGCACCGCATGCGACGAACGCGTCGCCGAGAGGAAATTGTCGGATTCAGCCGGAAATTGCGAAATTCTTCGATAGCAGCGATCTCCAGGCTCGATCGCGGCTCTTGCATAGTTGCGAGCTGTTCCTGTCTTTCCTTTCCCAGGATGTACAATGCATCGTATAGATCTTTCGTTCTGTAGCAAGGATTTCATCTCTCGATTACATCATTTCGCTCCTCGACCGGTTTAATGAAGGTCTCGTTGATACCTTTCACCAAGATATCGAATCATCAAAGAGCAGTCTCCGATCTCTTATCAATGTCCGATAGACGTACCAGCGAGATCATGCCAGGCAGGATTGGAAAATCCTCTTCGCGAAGATAAGTCGAAAAGGAAGAAGGACTTTCTCGGGTCACGTTTACTCGCGTTATAGTGCAGTACATATGATATGACATATATACGTGGTTAGTTTTTTTATAAGCCTGTAGAGAGAGATCAAGATATTTTTACGACGCATTCGAATGCAAGGATTTGTAGTTTAGTGTCTCTTTGCGCTTCTTATTCTTTGTTAATTAAAAATTTATAATAATTGTGAGAAGTAAATTAACATTGATAAAAATAAGAAATTGTAAAATGTACATGCAATTATACAATTAAAATAATATTTTAATAACATTTAATATATAAAATTAATAGGTTTAATAAAGATTAGCACGTAAAGTAATAATATTAAACTTGTATTCGGTTTAATGTTTACCGACTTCTTTCTAGTGATAGCTAGTGTAATCAATCGTTTTCTCAAAAAGCTTTGAAAATGTAGCTGTGATAGCAAATAGTAAAAATATATGCTTGTATGGATAAAACCACAGATAGAACGAGCCATTTGTATGTTTCTTTTTTATTAGATGCTTCAGAACTATTGAATCTGTCTCATTTATAGCATCAGGTTTCCATACTGTTTGCTTATTCGTCGAAAAGAATTCGCGGTACAATAGTCTTTTTTATCTGTTTAATAATATAGGCATATATTAAAAATGTATCTTGATTTTTTAAAGGCATATAACTATACGAATTAGCAAGAAATATGTTTTAATTTTTTGACGAAGAGAATCGTATGAAAAGAAATGATTGAACAATAATGATTGAATATATATATATATATATATAATTTAGAGAAATTTATTTTATATAAATATTTAAAAAAGAAAAAAGAATTGGTATTTGTTAGTAACGTAGAAATATATATTTATATTATTAAAAAATATCATATAAGTAATTGATACGTTAAATAATTTAATAAAGAAATTTCCAAAATTTATTAAGATATGATATATAGATATATGTTAATGAAAAGAGCTTTTGGAATATTTAGAAAGGTATTTTAATAAATAATCCAAAAGAGCATTTTAGATTTTGTAGTAACGTATTTAGAGCTGTATTATATTAAGAAATAAATGCACTTTTTTCAGACAATAGAATTATTATAAATTATTAGACAAGACTCTTCGTTTAAATACTATGTCATCATGATTATTCATTTGCTTGAAATGTAGTCAGCTATATTTTAGACTTGATATTCAATGCAACTTGTTAGGAACGAGAACAGAGAATACGATGATAGTGTTCCAATAAGTTTTCAACGCGAAATTGAAATCCTGCGAGCGTAAACTCGTTACTTATTCGTCCGGAAGCGCCGTAACAGCGTTGCGAAACTCTCTCGGTCGGAATGGTGTAGCGTGTTGTATCCTCGATCGTTTAACGTGAGAGCGTGTTGGGCCCTATCACGCTCGTTTCCCTCGTGGCCTGAAACTTAGGACCATCGTCGTCGCATCGACATGTTGCATATCGTTTATCCTTTAATTTACGTTCATATGTCATGTTCGTTTACTAAAATCACGAAAAGAAAAGAAAGGCAAATAGAATCATTAGGATACGATTTATTTAGCTCTAATTTTGTCTTACAGTTGTTTTTCGAATCTTCTTTTTTCTCCTTACATTTAACAAAAATATTCAAATTTTTTTATATATTTTTTAAATCTCTTTTCTACATTGATATTTTGGAAAATTCAAGGAGAAAGTATATGATAAATTCTTTGCATCTTTTACAGAAAATGATTTAACATCATATACCTCAAATATATTTCAAAAAATTAATATTGGAATTTAGCAGTTTAGTTTTTTCAAGAATAAAGGGATTCTATGGGATTAAATATACATCTTGATTTAGAAACAAGTACCAATTTCTGTTGTATATATTGTTACAGTCAAAGTGTTAACTTTAGTCAATGTACACATTTACTATATGTAAATTAACACTTTAACTGTAACAATAGATATAGTAAATGTGTACATTGACTACAAGCAGGCTACAGTAAATGTATGCATTTACCGAGTTAACACTGACTGTGACAATATGATATAATTGTAAAATATTTTTATATCAACAGTAAAGAGAGAAAACAGTAAAATTATAGGAGATATGATTATCAATAAGTTCGTAAACATAATCGATTTATTGCAAAAAGTATTATAGAAATGTAAATACATAATATCAAGCAAAATTTTCATTGTTGATTTTTTCAATCTCTTTCCGTTCACAAATTTATGGTCCACGATTAGAAGAATAGAGAAAGAAATAAAGAGAATCACACGCGTCTCCGTTTTATATTATTAACAGAGTCATTCTTCATCGATGGCACGTACCAGCATGATATCTACAATAATATTGTATATCTATGTTACACATGCAATGTGTGGGTAACAATTCCTTTCCAAATGCATTATATATCTATGTATAATTGAAGCATTTCACACTTTGTTACCGATTTTCTAATTACGGTCTTAAATGACTAAAATATATCGTTCGGAATAATAATAGCAGCAAATCATTTTAAAACTTCGAACAATTGGAAGTATGTTATCAATTTGCGCTTTTATGTGATAATTACCTATATATTCTAGATTTTAATAAGACATTATTAATCTGGAACAAAATTAGTTCTACTGTCTCGACAATTTAAAAGGATCCCTTGACGTGACGTTACTAGTGTAGATTTCAGTGTCATCATGCCACAGTGATGCATGCGTAAATTTGATCCGGCCTGGAACAAGAGATGGTGCCACAAAGGCTCGTGAAATTCAAAATTGCGAACAAGAGATTCTCTTTTCTTTCTCTCTTGTTTCCCCTCTTGGTATATAATATTGTGCTCGTGAGTATCAGGTTTACGTTGCTTTAAACTGAAGTTACAGACGGTCGAGAGAATTGCCCTTATCACATTTTTAGAAGAACACTATTATTGAGTTATATTATTGAAAAGATTGTTCTTTTCTTTTTATGTATGAGTATATAATTAGTGTGAAGAATAAATAGTTCGACAAATACTCGTAATAACGAGAGTTAATTATAACTATCATGTTTATACGTTTTAGAGAAACTTGTACACTCAATGAGTGGTCGTAAAAGGCACGTAAAGTGAATGATTTTGTTTTATCTAAACTCTTTTTACTTAATAAATGTTGTGTGCGAGACTCTTTAACGTATCTTTCTCGTTTATGACGTCACAATTCCAATATGGTCGCGACGAGTTAGGAGCTTAAGAGCTTTAAAAATGTTTCAAAATAATACTCAATCCGCAAATATTATTTTATCTATTTATAAACTGTATTGAACTTGACACTACGATCATTGTATAAACAATGAACACTTGTACATATGATGTTTTTCGTAATCGGGGAAAAAAATTACGATTGCAATTTCATATCACACAGTCGGAATCTCGTTTATCTTTTGTGACCGGTTTTATAGATCAGTGCGGAAAACAGAAATCATATTTACACGGTGGAATAAAAGGAATTATATGACTGGCACAGGGATAGCTAGACGTTCATATATGTATCTATACGCGCGCCCGCACACACGCACGCACATATATATTCATTGTACGTATTGTATAAAATAAATATATATACATAACGAAATAATGGAATATTTTGCAATTGGATTCCAGGTGGGACCGAAGGAACAAGCATCTTATCTTGAAGCAGCGGAAGACGGAAATATGGGAAAAGGGGATAAGAGAGGTGTTACACAGCGCAGTGATGGTGGTGAGTTTGTTCCATTAAACGGTCTTTAATCGAATATTGTTTGTTCCATTAATAATTTAAAGCGTGGATGAAAATAAGGGAAATATAGATTGGTAATACATGCCAAGTTAAATACTTTTATCGATGACTGCAATTCAAAATTATTAACAAGGATTAAAATTTTGAATAATATTTTTATCAATTTAAAAAACAATATCCACACATAAAATTTTAGAAAAAATCTAAACAAAATCGTCTAGATTTTGCATTTTTTGGAAGATTGAAACAAAAGCAAATATAATACAATATATGTATTAAAAGTGTTCATATTTGTTGGTTCCTCTAAATTAAAAAAGTAGATGGTGTGTGTTACAACTCTCATCTTCTTCGTGATTAGAATATTTTCTACAAGATATATTTCTAGTGCAAAACCAAAATTTACGCAATTCAGTTAGAAACGACAGATTTTCTCTTTCGCTTAAAAATCACCTATTTCCAGCCAGTTATACTCGTATTTCGCAACACATCCGCTTTACGCTCAAAATCGTGATCAAAGGAATCCCACAAACTGGAAACACTTTGACACGCATGTAGAACGACCAGAGAACATTTTGTTTGTCGCTCGAGCTAGGCAAAGGTAACATTGGACAATCGGAATTTCGATACGCGAATAACGTATCTCGTACGTTATCGACGTTATCTTGGAAAAGGAGTAGCATGTATTCGTATATCTATGTGTAGCGAAGAAATTGAATCGAAGGAGAAACGAGACAGGGAGACCACTCTGCGTACATTTGTGTTTCTACCCTTTTCCGCTTCCTTGATACAAGGTATGTCGTCACTACGTTACCTGTCGTTGTTTGCTCGTTGCATATTTGCAATACTACTCGTAGGAGATACCTCGATACCACGCGAGAGTGCTTGCTTGCCCTCTCGACTGTGCATACACTTACGACATTGTTGTATCCGGGATTTCGGTTCAGTCGTGTTTCCACTTCAATGCTGTTTGTTTCTCGATTTCATGTGTAAGCCATTTGTTAAAAACGAAACTCAACGTATAACGTGATATAAATTGAATACAAATTCACATTTTTAAATGGCTTAAAATAAGAATTATATGGTTAATTATCAATTAATCTTTCGTAAAAGATGAATTAATTATTAAGTCGATTGTATGTAAATTAAAATTTTGAACAGTTACGATATTATTAATAAGCTTGTTATGAAAATATTTTCCAAAAGATGATCGCCTCCAAAGACGAGTCATTTTTTCGAGATGGAATTCGTAAATTGCCTGAGAGATGGGAAAAAGTAGTAGCTAGCGATGGACAATACTTTAATTAATCTGTTCATTCATTTTGTTTTTCAATAAATGCATTTTTGAACACAAAAAACGGACCGAACTAATTTGTACTCCCAATATAAAATCAAAATAGCGAAATATACTCAATCATGCGAATACTTCTCTTATTGTTAGATACACACATTCGAAACAATGATGCATGGCTGATTTCGGCACAGTTTTACATATGAGAGAATCTGGAACATTTTCCGACATCCCTCTCGCTATTGAATTTTATTCATATTCTATGAATGAAAAGAGTGAAGATGGTGATGGATATTTCTGTATCCGTGAATGCCGCGATAATATTCGCAAAAGCAAAGTTTTGACACGATTTAAAAGATGTATTAATCGAGGTCACATGAACAATACCATATATTATTAGCAAATTAATCAATAATCAAAATATATGGTAAACATTCTATTTGATGTGTTTCTTTACACACATGCATAGAGTCCGCCAGAAGTTCCGGGCTACCTGAATAATTTCTGAATGGTTCGAGATATAGAATTGAAATTTACAAAGATACAATGGGATCATAAAATCTATCATTGAACCTCGAAAACACCTACTTTAACATTCCCGGGGAGAGAGGGGAGAAGGGGGCCTGAAAATCTTAAATGGCATGTGAAGTCGAATGAGGGCTCGTCATTTGAAAAAGCTTTTCGAGACGAAAACAACGCGGACTGACTGAAGTCTCTACGATTTTTTTTCGTAGAGTAATGATCATTTGAATATTGTTATTCCGAACAACTTGACAGTGTCCCATGCGTACGTAAAACGTATCGATAACGTTGTTATTTATGGTGTAAATAATTCGAAATGTTCACTATTCTTTGCTGCAGCTATTCTAAGTTTGCGGGCTTAGTCTCATTTGCTTTTTAAATGTCCCCAGTAAAAAAAGTCTAATGGGCTCAGATCTGGTGATCTCGATGGCCATTCTATTGTGCCTCTTCTACCAATCCATCGATCAGTAAAAACATCATTAAGAAAATTTCGAACCACCAGAAAAAAATGAGCTGAAGCTCCATCTTGCTGGAACCAAACATTCTGGAAAAGCTTCTTCAGCAATATCTTGAATAGCCGGTATCACTTGATTTTTTTAGCACAAATTTAATAATTATCTAAAGTTATGTTATCTTTAATGAAAAACGGTCCTATAATACGATTAAGCATTATTACACACACACACACACACACACACAAGAGATGTAACTCTTTCTTCTGAATAACAATGTTCAAATGATCATAACTCTATGAAAAAAAATCGTAGAGACCTCAGTCAGTCCACGTTGTTTTCGTCTCGAAAAGTTCTTTTAAATGAGCCCTCACTCGACCCCACATGCCATTTAAGATTTTCAGGCCCCCTTCTCCCCGGGAATGTTAAGATGTTTTTGAGATTCAGTGATAGATTTTATGATCTCATTATATCCCTGTGAATTTCAATTCTATATCTCGAACCATTCAGAAATTATTCAGGTGGCCTAAGACTTTTGGCAGACCCTGTATAGAATATATGTGCGTGCGTGCGTGCGTGATAGAGAACAAACTATTTATTGAAGATGTGAAATAATTATTTACATACAAACACACACATGCATACGTAATAAGAGATTTTCTTTAATACTAAATTATATTAAATAATCATAAAAAGTAATGTAGTGACATTTGATGCAGAAGGAAAGATTTAGCTTGAATAGCTTTTAAAACAATTCATTATTTACAAAATTTTACTCATGAGAGCGAACAAAATCTTTCCAAATTTGATATCGAATCTTTTAGGGAAACAGTACGAATGAATCAACAAAAGCAACCTACTGACATGAAGGTGGGCCGTGTATATGCGGATAAAACAGTCACTACAGGTGCACAGTTTTCTGTTTATAGGTGTAAAAGATCGCGCGTTTTACATTTATTTGTGCGCGGATGCGTCAAACCAACGACAAACCGTGTGCTCATTGTCCATCAAGTTGAGATAAAAAGAGAGATGGTAAGAGGGAAAAAAGGAAATGGAAAGCTTTTTCACGTTGCGAGTTTTGTTACAGTAGAAAGAAACTTGCATCCGTGTCATTTTTTTGATAAGTCATTTTATTATTTTCTAAATTTCTTGTAGTAAAATCTCCCCAGAAGAATTAAAATACTGTCACTATGGAAAAAGAGTGAAAAATAATAAAAATCTGTCACTCTTATTCAACAGTGCAAATTATCATTTTTTTTGGAGTAAGATTCACTTCAAAAATAGGAATGAGATTTCTTTTCTTTGGAATGAATCTCGTTCTAAAAAAGAAAAGGTGCAAATCTGCCACTCTTATTCAAGAGTGCAATTATTTCACTCTTTTTCAATGACAATAGTTGAGGTGAGATTTTACTTCAAGAAATTTAGAGAATAGCTAGTAAAAATAGCATATCCTTCGATTGCAGCGCGCTGGAATAATTTTATACAATTATATATATATATATATCTCATATTTAATTTATTAATTTAATGTTTAATTCTTTTATTTTACAGTTTAATTTCATAATTTGAACATATATTTTCAATGTTTTAAAAATAAGGGAATCCATTTGGTGAAAGCTCAATGTGTCTTTAATGAAAACATCGTGAATCGTATTATATCGCGACCAGTCGAGTTTTATGAATTGTACTATCTTATTGTGTTGTACAAAGTAAATTGAAAGTCGCGAAAAAATGCAAGTAAATTACGAAAGGACAAAATACACAAGGAAGTACAATACATCTTGGACGTTATCGAGATAGACATAGTGAGAAGACAATATCCTTGGGGATGATTCTTGAGAATGTCGGATGTGCGTCTGTTGTCGACAGGCGACTCTGTCGGCAGTCTGTTGTTAAGGTTTATATGTACGTGCCAGGAAACTTTAGATAGAAGATTTCTCTCTATCTCGCGTGAGATGATCTGTACTGTGCATCTCTGACAAGTTGTTGTAACGTAATATGGCATGAAACAACTTCATCTTCAACATGAAACCTCATATCTTTATTTATTACATCTGCTATAACTAGTTTTCCAAAGATATTTGCATTTTTTAACTGTTAATTCGCGATTAACTTCTACTTTATTAATTATTTCTATTGAATATTATTGTCTGAGTTCTTAGTTATCTTTCGATTAGTAGTGCTAAAGGAATATCTATTCTATACATTTCATAGTATGAAGAATATGAAAAGATAATTCAGCATGATCATAGTAACACTACGAAAAGAAGGTGGAAGATTATTTTTGTTAAAAAAAAACATTCAGATATTTTGTATTCTACAAAATTTTATAATGTATAATACGAGAAAATACAATACAATAGTACTTTTAGAGTACATAAAAAAGATCAAATGCTGTTATTTATATTTACGTAAATTATATTGTAATTATATAATGTTGCAGAAATTATCATTTTTTTACTACTTGTATATTGATGAAGGAAGTATAATCCATAGGAAAAAGAGCCAACTGAACGTAGACAATACCCGTTTGCCTTGACCGCGTTGCTCAATGATTAGATGCGCCACTGTGATTAACGTAATTCACGTATGAGTGCTAAAAGAAACGCACGTGTTGTCTGTTACATAACTTTCTAATCCATATTATTTGTGTTTAATTTTCATTTATATTCTAATAAAATAATGAATACTTTAATATTCGTTTCCGCTAATTAAAAATGTCAATCTACAAGTAAATATGTATATATGGTATTCCAATTAATATTATTGAAACATATTGTTTCCTTTTTAAATGAACTTCGATCGAACGTGTAAATAGTAAAAATGGTCGTTAAAGTTTGACAGGCATGCGCTCGGATGCAAAGTGACGTTTCCAATTTTCGTCGGAGTAATTTTGTACCGAATGCATTGGCGATTGCAACTAGCGCGACACGCAATGCATTACACAAAGTGGTTGCCCACGTCAATAGTCGATTATTTGCTTTTGCCTTAACATGTGTGTGTCGAGACGCGAGGGATATGAGGTTGCGCCTTCGGACTCACAATGCGTTTGATTGGACAGGAAATGTTTGCAAGCTCTTAAACGTTGAATGTCCTCGTTATCGGCCACGATAACGTAAGCAAAACGACAAAAAAAGGAGTTAGGAAAAAGAAAAGACGATGCAAATAAATGTAATGTGATCGAAAGTTATATTTGTTATCAAATGTAACTTCTGATGTGTAGTAAGCGATTAATACGCATAAATTTATTATATTTGGAAGTAAAGTTATTATACTAAAATATTTTATATATATCTTCTTATATGTACAATATTAGGCACTGATAAAACACGATAATTATTTTGAAAAAGACAATTATTTACAAAAAAAATTAAAAAATTGTATATGTAATTTTTTTTTACATTTTGCGTTTGCTATCCATAATTTGAAAGAGGGTGCAAACGGTGCAGACATATCAATGTCGCGATGAGTTGATCAAATTTTACATATGTAATGAAGTTTGATCATTACACGAAAACTGTGACAGTGTTTCGGGTTACACAAGTACAGATAACTTTATTGCTTTCTTTGTGTATGTTACATAAATATTCGTTTGGTTATAACACATTAGAGCCTACCTTCTATATCACATGTGGAAAAAAGCTGCAAAAATACAACTCGTTTCGGCTACGTACAAAAGATATACAATATTTTTCGCACGCTGTGTTTGCACATGCAAACGTGACGACGAAACATGTCATAAGTTTTTCGTGTATATTTTTTCTTTACAGAGCTTTACATACGTAACTTCACACACGCTATGCGAGGCAATGCTACAACGTTGGCTATCGATTAATATTAAAGACTAATTGATTATTATTCTAAAAAAACACACATTTTATTGGCCTCTGACATTACTTAAGACAAATACTGTTTACTACATTTTAAAAGTTAAACCTTTTAAACGTCTCTTATAGACTATCGTTAATTAGTAGTCGTACTATGTAAGTCTGTCTAATCCACACTCGTAGAAATAAGCGGATAAAAAAATATCTATATTTTTGTTCGTAATTAGTGTAATAAAATATAATCATTATATAGGTACGATAATAACTGTCAGCACTCAAAGAGTTTAATATATTCAGTTTTATTGATTATTTTTATATCTTTATTTAAACTTTTTTTTCGAGGTATATCTAATTTTATACATTATTTATTCTCTTCTGTAGAGAAGATAGAATTTCACTGATATTCAGAAATCACAAATAATTGTGTTGCTAGATGTAAAAAAAATTTATGTATTTTTAAATTTAAGAAATTAATAAAAAAAATTTCATGACATTTTCATGACTTTTTATCTCTAATATTTATGAATATTTTTTTAGCATGTTTATATTTTATGTCAAATATAGATAAATATATTTTAAAATTTATTAAAAATGTTAATAATACAATATTTCAATGTAAATTTTAACATCCTATTAAATTCAATTTAATGTTTTTTTTTATTTTACATTTAATTAAATTTTATCGTAAAAATACTGAATTTCTATAAAGCTGAAATATTTATTCATGATAGGTTTTTTTGGCTTAATTTTGAGTTATTAAAATTATTAATATTATGATTATTAAGTAAAAATATATCTCAGTTTTTCGTTCTGCAAATATTTAAGTCAACTTACTGAGCTCTTCTATCCAGCGACACAAATATTTGTACAGAGCTAGTAGAAGTCATACATGCACAAATTGATTTGAAATACAGTAACTTGAAACTTTTCATGCGAGAGAGAGAGAGAGAGAGAGGGGGGAGAGGGGGGGGGAGGGGAGGAGAGAGGGAGAGAAGGGGAGGGGGAGATTTCCGTCGGTGTTGAAGAGACAGGAGAGTCTTATTCTTTTTTGTTTCTCGTCTAGTTGTTATTCATCTCTTCAAAAGTAAAGGCTGAATCTTATTGATATTATTAGTTTTACGAATTGGCATAGAACTTGAGGACTTCTGTTCTGGCAGCGTCCGCGACAGGCCCTCTGCACGGGTTAGGATCCCAATTAATCCCGGGGCAGCCCAACGATTCGAAACACTTCACAAGACGATTGTTATTGGATGAACAACAGTGAACAACTGCCCAAACACATGGAGCAGGACTCTGGGCAGGTGGTCTCGGCGTTGGAGGGACAGGAAACTGTGCCACTTGTACACCTTCCCGATGTGGATTGATTCCCTGAAAATAATGATTGTATTTTAAATCCTTCTAATTCTAATGATTAATTACGATAGAATTATAGAATTAATATCGAAATATTTATAATAAGAGACATGAAATAAATATAAATATATCTGTTTATGTTTCGCATAAGGCAAAATGTAAAAGTAACAATGTCTTGCTAAATTTAGCACATACTTATACATTTGTACTTTTTTTATTTTTTCTAAAATTCGCAACTTTCGGAGAAAATATCGTAAGAAAGCGCCAAAGAGAGAGAGAGAGAGAGAGAGAGAGAGAGAGAGAGACGGTGCTGTTCAGTGTTCAGTCAATTAAGTGGAACAAAGCAGGGCGAGTGAAGGCTTGTTGGAGCACGAATCCGCCGCAACTTCTCCCGTGATTTAATAAAGCACGCTTTAGTTTGGTAGCGCGAGACAATCGGGGACCACGAGATCGGATTCGTCGGTGAATAAACCGCTGGTGGACAACCGAATCGGGTTTATGTGATCGGAGTGCGGTGAAGTATTTTGACAGACAAACGGAGGACTTACCGTAAAATCGATCTCGTTGTTGAAGCCGTTCCTCGATATCACTGGTGGCGAGACGGGCGACGTCGGTGAGGAGCTACCAGGACGAACTATTATCCTTGCGCTCACCGGCAGAGAGTTTAGTCTGGCTAGTTCTTGTCGTTTCCATTGCTCGGTGAAGATCTCCTTCTGCGTGTGCTCCCTCATTCTACAGTAGATGGAAATAGGATCGTATTTATCAGATAATTCGAATGAGTAAACTCTTGCCTCGATGACACGCTTGGGTTGTTTCTTTAAATAAGTCGCACTTTTCATAATATGTCGTAATTGTTGATATTTAATATTTCATGCGAATGGAGAAGTATCTCAGATAGTACAAGCGAAATTTATTGCATTAAACTATTATACAAAAAAATCTACAAACTAGCAGGACTAAATCAACAAAATCGAATCGAACTTATTTGAATATTTGATACTGTTTTACAAGAAAGGCGATAATTTTCAATTGATGAAGTAATTAGTAGTATTAATACAAATGTATAGTATTAATACGAAAGTATATTACAAAATAAAGTAAAATAAAAATAAAAAAGAAACATATGAGGGATAATTCATTTTTATTGCTGTTTTTTTATATTCTTTATATGAAATATATTATACTTTAAACTCACAATTTCAATTTTATTGCAATAATACTTGCACTCTTGGAAGTAATATCATACTATTAGTTCCTAGTTATAAAGAAATAGCAATAAAACAAAAACAAACAGAGACAAATAATAGTAATAACGAATATTGAAAGCTGCGAAGCGCGTCGACTCAAATAAAGTTCGCGCTGGCGTCGCGCCAGGTGAAAACTTTATTTTTGCAAAGCACGTGCCCTAAGAACCACTTACATACCTGCTCTCTTCCTGTTGTCGTTTCTCAGCTTCCAATCTTTGCCTTTCGTGTTCTGCCACCGCTCGCCTAGCTTCTTCGGCTCGCATCAAATTACTCGGAATGGGCCTGCTATCCTGCCGTCTTCTATGTTCTGCCAAAAGACGAGGATTCTGGTGATAGATCGGCCTTGTGATTTCTGGTTGTTTCGTTCTACCAACTTCGTTTCTGGATCGTTGTTTCAACATCTCCTGCCTCCTTCTCTCGGCCTGTATCCTTGCTATCTCTAGTTGCTTCCTGTTCTCCTCGTACCTCCTAGATTGCTCCCTCCTTGCTTCCTCTTCTCGCCTGGCCGCCTCTTCTCGCATCCGTTGCTGCCGTAAGCGTCTCTCTTCTTCCTCCTCCCACTGTCGCCTGGCGAGTTCCTTCCGTCGCTCTTCCGCCTCGTATCTCTGCCGTCTTTCCTCCTCCAATCTTCTCGCCGTCTCTTGCTGCCTCCGTCTGACTTCCTCTGGTGAGCTTCGCGGATCGATATACGTAGGCGCCGACGGTCCGTGGTCTCTCCTCACTCCTAGATCGGGATATCTGTCGCGACGACGGGCTTTCTCGATCAGTCTTTGCTCCTCGAACCAGTTACGACCGGCTGTGGTCGATTGATTATCTCTCGATGGCACATTCACTGGTTGGTTCCTCCTGATGTAATCCTGTAGTTTTCTTTCTTCCTGCTGTCTTTTACGCTCTTCCAATCGTCGACGGTACTCTTCGTCGTTTCTACTCACATTCATCCGAGGATCTCGATATTCTTCGAGTCTGTAACGTCGTTTCTCTTCTTCCGATCTTTGATCGACATGATTGACATTGATAGGTCGATTTCGCGTGATATATTCTTGCAATTTTTGTTTTCGCTGTCTTTCTTCGTGCTGTTGTCTTTTTTCGTCTCGATCGCGCTGTCTGATATCGTTCGGATGACTGACTGAGTGTTCTGCGTGCATTAAATTCGATGGTTGCTGTCGCCTTCTCTCATCTTCATCCTCTTGCCTCTTTTTTGACCATTCTCTACGACGGTCTTCTAGTTTTCTTTTATCATTTTCAGAAAAATTTCTCATTGAATCTTGACGCCTTGTTTCTTCTTCCCTTTTTCTTTGAGCTTCTTGTTGCGATCTATATTGCTCCTGCCTTCTTGCTTGTTCTTCTTCTAATCGGCTTCGTTGTTCTTCCTCCCGTCTCTTCATTTCTTCATCATAAGGTGTTCGTTTCCTTTCATCATCTCTTACAGAAGTTTTAGAGCCCGATTTTTTAAAATTTTTCTCTTGCCATTTGTTTTGTGGTCTCCTTTTAATTTCTTCTTCTTGTAATCTTCGTTCTTCTTCCTCTCGTCTTCTTAGTTCTTCTTCGTTTCTTCTGACTGCTTCTTGCATTTGCTCTTGTCTTTCTTGTATCTGCCGTCGCATGTCTTCGTTATCTATACGATGTGTTGAAATGTTCATCTTCTTACGATACTCTTCGTATTGTCTTCTTCGCAACTCATCTTTTCTATTTTTCTCTTCCTCCTCCCGTTTATTTGACGGTCTTTGATTAGCCTGTTGCATTCGTCGCAAATACTCTTCTTCTCTTCGTTTTTGCTCAAGTAATTTCTCGTATTCTTGTCTAACATCGGTGTCAGTATTTAATCCATGATGCTGGTCACGTCTTCTAGATGTGTCTTGATGGTATCGCATCTCGTGCTGCCTGCGACGTTCATTCACGGTCTGCAACTCGTTGCTGGACACGACACCTTCATCCTCACCGAAGCCCCAATCGATCGACCGTCTCGTGCGCTTCCGTTCGTTTCTACCGTCCGCAAATCCCTCAGTATTTGCTTTGGCAAACCACAGTAACCGCCGACCATGACTTTTGCTGGCGCCGTTATCACCGTACAATGAAACGGTTTTTCGCTTTGGTTCGGCCTCCTCATAGTTCTTAATTTCGAGATCTGTTAGAGATCGCTTGGTCTTTTGTTTGCTAGTTATTGATTCACTGGAATTTATTGGGATGGATCCACCCAAATCTCCTCGTTCTGGTAATTTCTCTGGTCGCCTAAACTCATCCAGATGGTCTGAATTAAGATGGCTGGCATCCATATCTCCCCTATTTGGTTTATTTCTTTTCGTGGTAGTCTCCAGTCTTTTGAGTTTGAGAAGTTCATCCATTTCCTCATATTCTTCTTCATCATATGACAGAACATCGCCGAGATCCAAGGATACCGGCGACACGTTTAGCAGCACAGACGCTGGCACCTCGCCCTTCTCCTTGTCGGGCGTATCTATCGATCTTTTCGTCTTGTGGGACGACAACGACGCTTCGAGACCTTCGCATCCAACCTGTAGCTCCGGCACGCCACCAACATCGAAGGCGTCTTCGTTGATCAAAGGAGTATCGGTTCGTTGTTCTTCGAAAAAGTTTGATTGTCTGTGATTAATGTTCGCATTTATTGTTGTTGACTTGACTTCTGTTGTCTTTGTTTTTGAATTCAAATTTTTTTTTGGAGCTTTGCTCTTATTTTTCGACAGTAAATTTGTGGAGGGCGTGGTTGCGGTTAGTAAAGTCTTCTCTTTGGATAGATCTAATTTATATATTTCCATCGATCCTGGACCTTGATCCTGGAACGTGTCGTCTGCTACAAAGAGGTCGTTTAAAAGGTCTGAAGGGGATACCTCCGCTTCGTGTGAAAGCGTTTCCGGCATCTCATAGCCGTAATCGACTTTGTCGGTCGCGAATTGCGCGCCAGCGATATTCGACAACCGCCTTTGCCAGCCTGAAAAGGGGTACATTCGCTTTGACGAGACAATGTCCTTCAAGAAACCTTCAAGCTGAAAATCTCGCTCGGTGGCATTGCGAAATAGAGCTCCTGGTTCTGGAAAATGCAATTAGATTTTTTTTAGTGAGGTATCTCAAAAAATATACTTGTTTACTCTGTAATTATAAATTTAAAAGCTTATTGACTTTAATGAACCGTTTTATTTTAAATATTGTGAGGATATCTTATGATATAAAATTTGTCTAATTGTAAGAGGTACCTATATTTAAAAAAAAGGAATCGTAGTATATAAGAAATTTTAAACTTCACACTTCGGGTCGGAGAAATTAAAATGATTTAATTCGATATGTATACATATCCAAGCAAATTGCAAATTGCCCTTGGAATTAGATGCTATTGAGTAAGATTTCTTAGTCAGAAATTAGATATACTAACAAAATTAATTTTAACTATTTTTGCACACATTAGTATGTATTTTAATTTATAGATTTAATTTATAGGCGTGATTTTTTTTTAAATTAAAAAATATTTAATTTATATTTAATTTGAAACGATTTCATACTTGCCTAAACTAATATAGTTGCACACTATATGTAGAGTAACGTGAGTAATGCTCGACGCCAATTTATTTCCCTGAAATTCTTGCATGCCGTTATAATATAAAGATGTGTGTGTGTGTGTGTGCAAATGTATATTATATTATCACAAGTCTCCAAATTTTTTATGTTCTGTATATTATTAATATTATCTTCAATTTAACTTGAGAAATGAAAATAACTATATTGAGATTGAATACACGCATGTTGAAAATTTTCGAGCTTTTAACAATTTTTAGCGGTATTTATTTGATATTGAAATTGCACAAAGATGATGAGCAAGGAAACCTTGATTAATGAGAAATTTGGAGCGAACGGATTTCCAGTTAGGCAGAGTGGCACGTTTCGTCACGAAACGTTTATTCCATCTTCATTAGATAGCGCGCGACAGAATTAAATCGTAATTTGAGTTAGTTAAAATAGAGCACTATACATTTCTATATAGGTACTTACTCTTTTTGTCTCCTAAGAATACCAAATAGAAATATTAAAAATATTCTTTTCTCTCTTAAAAGAGAAAGAGAAGCAAGTATTCTATATAAAATAAAACTGACATTTGAAATCATAACATCCTTACATCTTTTGTACATATTTCTTCGTATGTAAAAGGAGAGAAGAAATTAGAAAGATTTATATTAGCCTTTTCCTATATTCTTAAAACGACAATCTCGTATTAAACATCAACTCTTGAATTGACAGCAAAACACAATATAGTGCTTAATTTTGCTCAGCTTAACATAGTACCGTAAAATCTGACATACCCTCCGCGGAGATCGACCTTCGCGAGGTGATCCAAAGGTCGAGCGTTTGATCCTCGGCCGGATAGTGATCTCTCCAGACTCCAGTATGGTCCCGTTGAACTCTAGCGTGTCGGCGTGGAGATACGGGGGAGTATTGATCGTGAGAGAGGTGGAGGGTAACTGCTCCTCCTACCAGAACCGCCACCGTCAGCCAGACTATGGCCAGAACCACTGTCACCCGTGGTTGCATCCTCCTGCAATCAAACGGGTGTTCCCTCGTTATTCCACCTCAAGCTCTTCTCAGCATTCTGACTTCCTTTACTTACGTTACAGTGGAATCCTCAATCTCTTAATTCTTTAATACGTCTAAATTTATCACATTTTTTGAGTTTTTCAGTTAAAGTTCTTTGATATAAAATTGCAATGGTATAAGGAGTAAAGCTAATAAGCATCAAATCACCGTTTTGTATTACCATTTACAGTTACGATACAATTATATACAATAAAAGCCGAAGTAGGTACAGACATTTTAACGTGATAAAAATAAATAGTTTTTCTTGAATATATATATACGTATGTGAATTATCTTTCAGAAAAGAGATTTTTTTTTGTAAAATAAACTACAATTGAAGAAAAATTTTTAAGACTTATACCTACATATCATTCAAACGCGCAAGCATACAAACCAATGCGCTCCAAGCAGTACCATTCTCAGAATGTATAATACCGCGAAGAATAACGTATTCACTGTAACAACCGTCTGACACGCGAATCTTCTTATTCCCAAAAGGGAAAGCTAGCTCGGCTCGCTCTCTCTCTCTCTGACTTTGAATCTCAGACAAGCATCTCTCTCGTCACTCTGTTCGCAAGCTACTCCAACATCGTTCAAAGGACCGATCCATCGCTTTGCAGAGAAAGATGAAAGCAGGCACAAGACAGCCTGCCTTCCTACCGTGCGACTCTCGAACTACTCTCGAACTAGTCCTCTTGTCTCTTTGATTCTCACTCCAGCACTTCCTGCACACGAATCTGCTGATACTTTGCGAGCGACATTTAGAGCACACCTCTCTCAGCGAAGCGAGAAAACGAGAAGAACGGGGAGATAGAGAAAGGTCGATATCAACAGTGGATCGAGTGATCTTGACACACTGCCCGCGTCAGACCGAAGTAGCTAAACTTAATACCGTAGCGAAGGAGAAGGCGAGGAAGGCCGCTTGTAGAATCAACTCTCGCGTATACACTCTGACGCGCCAATTGACTTCCGCCAACTGACGTCACGTTTCTCTTCTGTTTCTCTTTTTCTATCTTTCTTTTGCTTTTTGTAGATCCGTCGGCCGAGTTGACCGAAGAATCACTGGTAATTTCGACCAAACGTCCTTTGACGATTTTCTTCATTTCTCAACATGCGAAATATTATGCTGAGAAATCGCGGGATTTTTAAGTATTTGGAGCAGATATGTGTATTAATTATCATTCATGATTCTTGTGATAACAGAGAATGACGTAATATGCGAAAAATACAAACATAAAATAAATCAATGAGATTAAGATGGATTTATTTAAATTACTGACATGTATATTATATAGATTATATACATGTTTCTACTAATAATTATAATTACTATAATATGATGTACTCTGGAGAGTAATATAGCTTTCGTGTCTATATAAGAAATGTTGAAAAAGTTTCATAGTTATAATTAAATTTATTATTTTATTAATTATTTTATTTAAAATTATGAAATGTGTAGGTTATAGAATGGATTATAGAAATTATATATTATAAAATGTATAAATTATAGAATAATTATTATAATTTACAGACAAAATTTTATCATATAATATCCATTTTTTAATTTTTACTTAAATACGATGATTTTTCTAGCAGATAGTTTTTTATAGCAACAGATATAGCAAGAGATTATATAGTGAGTGGTTTAGATTTTGTCATTGCAGTCAGTAGATTAGCGCAAGTTATTCTTAGCTACTTATTTAGCGTCCAAAGGAAGCGCGGTTGATCGGACGCTCTATAGCAGACTTGATATATTCATATCATCACGAAGTCAATTAGAGCAATCATTTCTCTTTTCTTCTATTCGACGGATCTTATGCCACAATTTGCTACTAGAATAATGTACATAATAGGTACATCTGTTTTGTTATTATACGTCCTAGATCACGATGTTATTATGTACTGATTTATAAACTTTACGCGAGATTGTTTTTTATGTGTATATACATACTTATGTTGTATATATCTTAGCGATATAGTGATTAAGCCAACTTAAATGAGAGGAATGTGATTTCAAACAAGAATGCGTGATACATTTTTAAGCACGCGAATGAAAAAATATCTCGGTAAAAAATTGAGGATTTATTATTAGTTGCCACAAGCAAATGCGATTTAACGACGAAATATATTATTCACAGCGAGATGTGATCGTAACATATTACTGTATCATACAGTTTTTCCGATACCGGCGAAAGAAAAATAATAATCCACTGACAATCGGCAATGCATAATTACGGGGAATATATATTGAAAGACATTATTGCAAACCATAATGGAGTCGACAATTATGCCTATATCAAGTATCTCTAATTACTAGTTATTACTATATAATGCTCGATTGTGCAAGTAGAAGAGTGATTAATTAATAATAGTTCGCGCTTGTAATTAAATAGTCGCAAACTCGTGTTCGGGGCGAAACACGTTCGGGTCTACCTTGTAAATTACAATTACGTTTAGCATAAAATGAGATATATAGAGCAATTCTGCCAAAGTACTTTATTCTCTTGCATACATATTCATGCCTACCGATACTGATTTATCTGTTTCACTGTAAAATCTACACAAATATCCTTATAAGAAGTCAAAATATTACATAAGACATTTTTACAATTTTATTTGCAATATTTTATTTAATATTATTAAATAAGATGAGAACATTATATTTTAAGGATCGAATATTTTTTGATGCTCTACAACATATCCAAAGCGCATCGAAATCGATGAGGAATGATCATATTTAATACTAAATACGAGACATAAGTACGGATTTTGAAGCAGTAATTAATTTATTCCTTCGAGAAAATAAGCATACCATGTTCTTAAATTATAGAAGTGCTCGTGGCGTTGTGCGAATTTGATTGCACGAATTGTTCTAGACAAGGCGGATTAAAGTCTGCCAATAGCCCATACAGTTTCATTTCAATTCCTCTATTTAATTCTCGATCCATTTTGCCAACTTTTTTCAATTTATTTCGCATACTCGAGACAATTGAAATGAACTTTCCTGCACATCTAATTTCTAGCGTAGAAAACGCTACAATCTTTTCTCTTATTGTTAACGAGATCAAGATATGGTACATCAAGGATTTTAAAAGTGAAAAACACGTATGGATAATACGATTTTCAATAAGTATTACGTTAACCTACTAATATACAGATTGATTAAAGAAAGGTTTACTTTTGAAAAATTTTGATTTTGAAAGCAGGTATTATTCATTAAAACACAACACTAAGAGAAAATCTTTTGGTATTTGTAACTATACTTACATATTATTTTTATACTATTATAATTATAATCATTACTGTTATAATATTAGTAATTAATTCGTTCATTCATTTTGTTTTGAAATAAATGCATTTTTAAACACGAAAAACGGACCGAACTAATTTGTACACCTAATAATTGTGATTTGAATCATTTAAGTATCTCCACAGCTAAAAATCTGAGAGATTAAGGTCTAAAATCAGAGGATTAGACAAGTCAAATTACTGGACCTTTCCATTAAATATCTAGGTTAGATATTGTCGGACGATGCGTAGAAAATAGAGTAGTGTTCTATTGTACATGAACCATATATCAGTGCCTTTAAGGCACACTTCGATCCGCAATTTACAGTTAGCATTTTATTTACTAATGAGGCGACCTAAAGATTATGGAGCATCTTTTGACAATAAAGGTCCATATCTTAATAGACAAAGATAATAATCATATTTCAATATTTGTTTTAGCATCTATATTTACTAGACCTTTTTTGTTTAAATTACCTGCTTTTAAAATATGTAATTTTTTTATCACCTTTTATTTGCAATTAATTTAATGAGATGTAAAAATGCAAAATAAATGCAAATGTGTAGGATACTTTTTTTGTATGCTTTCGCTGCCTATGCCTTCTTCCTTGTACTTCCTTATAATATGGAAATGAATTGTGTTATACCTGCTTTCAATATTATTATCCATGTTTTTTTATTTCATTGCATTTATAATTTTAATATGTAAAATGTCTCACAAACAATTTTACTGAAAAAACAATTTTATTGAAGTATTTACTAGACCTTTTTTGTTTAAATTACCTGCTTTTAAAATATGTAATGTTTTTATCACCTTTTATTTGCAATTAATTTAATGAGATGTAAAAATGCAATTGAAGTATTTAAAAAATTTAACTAGATAGAATTTGTGAACAAATTGATTCGTAATAGACGTAGGATATATTTTGCAATCCATAACAAAAATATTATATCATATATTTGAATATCTTGTATTCTCGTTGAAATACTTGTATCGAAAATTTCAGAGCTTCTGTCGAATTGTCAATTTTCGACGCTGATTTTACCGAATCGTAAGCAGTTCATGCGAAGCGCAGTTCGAAAACTGTCGGAAAAATGGTCGTCTAGGGATTTGGGAAAGCGACGAGACACAAGTGGCACGGTTTATTATGCGGCATGCGAAATCGGATTAGGATCACGTTCGATGCGAATGCGTGTGTATCTCGATTGTCGATAATGATGTTGCGCGGCATGGATAGAGCACTAAAACAGTCGCTAAAAACGATGTTTACCTATTGTACAGTATATGTACATACTTTCGGTCTGTGTGCTATCGATTGCACCGCTTTCGGCCTAATTTTTTTGTAGATAACGCGTTGAAATATTGGAACTTTATGCGAGTTTCCGGTATATACGTCGCGCACACATTGTTCGAGTGCGATGTACATTCATGTGAATGCGATTTTTTTTTTCTATTAAACTAACCTCATATATACCTTTAATACATAATCATAAATTTTCTCGCTATGAACGATTGACCGTCGAAATTTTAATGATGGTCGTTATGCTACAAGAAAGATGTATAATGTATCGAAAACGAACATTATCATATAGCAATATATTGCGTATAAAATGATTCAGTACCGCGGGATATTGTAATAGAACCAAATATATGAAGTTTTCACAAAGTAAAAT